GCATGGTGACTGGTAGTGATCTAGTTACATTTTTTGCATGTGGAGGTCCAGTTTTCCCAGCACCATTTGTTGAACAAACTGTCCATGTTCCATTGCATGTTCTTTGCTCCTTTATCAGAAATCAGCTGTCCATGTAGGTGTGGCTTTATTTCTGGGCTCTCTATTTGGTTCCATTGGTCTGTGTGTCTGTTTTTGTCCCAATATCAAACTGTTTTAATTATTATGGCTTTATAGTATAGCTTGAAGTTTGGAAGTGTGATTCCTCCTTTCTCCTTTGTTTTCATCAGTAGGGCTTTGGCTAGTCATGGTTTTTTTGTGGTTCCATATGAATGTCATCAGTATTTGTTCTATTTCTTTGAAGAATGTCATTGAGATTTTTATTGGAATGGCATTGAATCTGTATATTGCTTTTGGAAGGATGGCCATTTTAATAATGCTAATTCTTCCAATCCATGAGCAGGGGATGTCTTTCCATTTCTTTGTGTCTTCTTCTATTTCTTTTAACAGTGTTTTATAATTTTCTTTGTATAGTTCCTTCACCTCTTTTGTTAGGTTTATTCCCAAGTGTTTGATTTTTTTGTTTGTTTCAATCATAAAAGGGATGGTTTTCTTGATTTCTTCTTCAGATTGTTTGTGTATAGAAAGACTTTTGTGTGTTGATTTTGTGTCCTGCTACTTTACTAAACTGGTTGATTATACTGAGTAGTTTTTCTGTGGAGTTTTTAGGGTTCTCCATATATATTACCGTATTGTTTACAAATAGTGACTGTTTTACTTCTTCTTTCCCTATCTGGATTCCTTGTATGTCTTTCTCTTGTCTTATTGCCCTGGCTAGGACCTCCAGTATTATATTGAAGAGCAGTGGTGAGAGCGGACATCCTTGTTCCAGATCTTAAAGGAAAGGCCTTCAGCTTTTCACCATTGAGAATAATATTGGCAGTGGGTTTGTCGTATATGGCTTTTATCATGTTAAGGTGGGTTCCTTCTATCCCGAGAATTTCAAGGGCCTTCATCATAAATGGATGTTGGACCTTGTCGAATACTTTCTCAGCATCTATTGATGTGATCATATGGTTTTTATGTTTCTTTTTGTTGATGTGTTGGATTATACTTACTGATTTTCATATGTTGAAACATCCTTGTGCCCCTGGGATGAATCCCACTTGATCGTGGTGTACTATCCCTTTGATGCATTGTTGGATTCTGTTGGCAAGGATTTTGTTGAGGATTTTTGCATCAGTGTTCATTAGGGAGACTGGCCTGTAATTTTCTTTTCTTTTTTTTTTTGTGCTGTCTTTGAAAACCAAATGTAATTTGTCTGATTTTTTTTATACTTTTCCTGCAACTTAATTTTTTCACTTAATTTAATTTTTTTTCATTTATGAAGTTGAAGTTTAAATTATTGATTTGAGCTCTTTTCCAATACAGGCATTTATAGATACAAACATAAGCTGTGTCCCTAAATTTTGTCATGGTTGGATTTTTATTAATCCCCAATTTAATTTCCCTGTGACTTCTCTTGGTTACTTAGGAGCATGTTGCTTAATTTCCATCTATTTGTGAATTTCCCTGGTTTTCCTGGTGATTTCTGGCTTCATCCTACTGTGGTGCAGTGACATACTGTGTAACTGCAGTTCTTATATCTGTGTCAAGGCCTGTTTTGTGGCCTTTGAGGTGCCCACAGCATCTCTACACGTGAGGGAAATGTGTTCTTGCCTGGTTGGCTGCAGAGTGCTATAGAGGGAAGTTAGGTCTGATTGATTTATAGGGTTTTTCAAATCTTCTGCTTCCCTCTTGAAAGAGTCCAGTTCTTTTATCCCTATTGAATCTTTACCTCTCAGTCACTGAATGGATAATGTCAACCACTACTGTATCTTTAACGGATGCTTTCCCCTGCCACGTGAAATCTGCTGTGAATATCTTAGTGAATTTTTCACGTTTGTGATCATATTTATTATATCCAGACTTTCTTTTAAAATATTAGCCTATATATTGCTAATCTATTGATTGAGACCCGATATTTGTCTTTTGTAAAAAAGATTTATTTATACATACAAGAACTTGGGTGCAGGCCAGAGGTGTGGGGAGTGAGAGGGTTCACCAGAGCAGAGACAGAGTGGGGAGCAGAACAGGTGGATCTACTGAAACACACTGCTGAGGGGGGCAGCGGGGAGACAGGAGAGGTCTGCTGCACCCTGTGGGTAGCTCCCTGGTTGAGGATAGAACTCGGGCCGCAGTGGCTGGTGATAATAGTGCTGGAATTTAACCCCTATGCCACCAGGGAGGCCTCCCCCTGCATACACACACATATTTTGGGGAAAGAAAATATACACAGGAACCTATTGCATTTGTGTGAATGCAGACCTTGTTACTCAAATCAGGACCCCCAGCAGCATGGGCTCCACTGGGGGCACATTAGGAAAACAGAATCCTAAGCCCCCCTCCAGGCCCCTGAATCAGAGCCTGCACTTTGCAAGGCGCCCAGGGGATTCCCATGCACATCAATCTTGAGAAGCAGCGGGGTAGGTTCCAGAACCCGCCAACTTTGCCAACCCTTAAAGCTCCTACCTCTGTTCAGAGCACAAGTCTGCCTTTCCCCTAGGGCCTCAGTCGCGGCCCATCTCCTTCTCTAGATTTGAGGCCCCAGGGGACGTCTGTGCCCCGTCTCCCCCCAGACTCGCACACCTAGTGACGACTGCTCTAGCAGCTGTAGGTAAAGCAGTGAACCTGACTCCAGAATCTGTACCTGACCTGCCTCCTCCAACCCCAGCTCCAAGGAGGTTTCACCCCTCAGTGAACATATCAGAAAAGGCTGGTTCCTCGGGCCTCCAGGGGACGGCCGGGACGGTCTCCGGGACAAGGCAGCACGCGGCGCCCTGGAGCTTCTGCCTCAAGAATGAGTTCACCCAAGACGCGAATCTCCAGTCGCTGAGGCTTCTTGGCTGTTAGAAAGAAACGGTTCCGTCACCCCCGGGAGGACTACCTTTAAATCTGGCACCCTGTCATAACGCTCATGTAGTTCCTTCCTCGATCTCAAAACAGCCGACGGGGGCATGAGCGAAGTGTCAGAAAAGAGCAAAGTGAACACCCGTGAGAGGCTGTGCACGCACACACGCACTGGCAGTAGCTGAGCCTCCCCGTGCGGGACGGCACCGAGGCAAACGCTCAGGGCCCAAGCAGCGGCGGGGGGAGGTAGCGGGGGTAACCGGGGTGTGCTCCGCGCCGCGCGGGCCTGGTCGGGCTCAGCCCTGTGACCACCTGAAGCGCTCAGCCGCCCTGGCCTGGCCGCGCGGAGAAGGGGGCGCTGGTGCGAGACTCGGGGGGCGTCCCCGCGTCATCTCGGCAGCCTCCCAGTCCATCAGCTCATACCCTCCTAGCTTAAAAAAAGCAGCGATTCAGCGACTGGTATAAGTGTTTTTATTGACAAAGAATTTTTATTTGGCTGTTTTGAAAACCACAAACGTTTTTCACTCTAGAAAACATTAAATAACGAACAGGGTGGCATACAGTACTCTGGATAACGTCTTCCGTCTGCTCAGCGCGACGTGGCGTGGGCACCCACCAGCGGCATTTCGGTGACGCCCTCAGTTGCACGGCTGGAAGGCCAGAAACGGCACGAGCCGTCAACCATGGGTCTAGGGCCTCACTGTGGGCCGCACTCAAAGGCTCGGGCATGGACGTTCCCGCAGCCCTGCCTGCTGGCAGCTGAAGGGGCAGCCACTATCCTAGTGCTTTCCCGGCTGCTGAGGAAACCTTCCCGCTGTGCGGAGCCCGGGGGCCCACCGAGGACAGAGGCAGCCAGACGCGCACTTGCGCGAAGGAAAGGGCCTGCGTGGTTCTCTCTGGCCAGTCAGGCGGTTACTGGCGTCACAGAACACACTAGAAAAACATCTCTCCAAACTGGGCTTCCTGCACACCTGACATGCCGTCCAAGGCGCAGTGAAGCGTCTGCCAGCAAAGGGCACTGGCAACCCCCCAGGTGGGGGCGGCGTGGGGACGGGAGGGTACCCGGGCACTTTCCTTCCTGGCGACTGGGTGTAGCACTGCTGGTTCGCCTCCGAGGGGGAGAGGGTCAGGGAGCTTTCCCGGCCGCGAGGGGAAGGCCTAAGCTAGAGCCTGGGCTCCGGGGGCGGTTTCCCCACACAGGGCAGGGCAGCGCCTCCTGGGCCCGGGACCTGCGGAGGTGAGAACATTTTCACCGCCTCTGCTTGATCTTTTCTCCTCCTACTGCTCCCAAGGGGGAGGGAGGGGAAGCACAGCACCAGGAGGGGCTGACTCGCACTGTCCGGAACAGAGGATTCTAATGGACCCGTCCCTGCCAGCAAGGCCGCTCAGTGCGTGGGCCAGGCTCTGGGGGTTCTAGTCTCCAGGGGTGCAGCGTGTGTGGGGAGCAGCGGCCAGCGCCGCCCTGCGAGCACCCTCACACTCGGAGGCCAGCGGTCCTTCAGCTGGTCACCCTGGATCTTTGTCGCCAACCCTTCGGTCATCTCTCGGTTCCTGGCAGAACATACTCTGATCACTTCATCAGAAATGAAGAAAAGTCTCGGAATAAATTGCCTTTGACCAGTTAAGTATGTTTTAATATAAAGGTAGAATAAGCAGGGAGGAAATACAGGCAGGGGGTCTGGAGCTGCAGGCTCCGGCCTTGTCTGTTGCCTTAGTGTGGGGGACCCCAGTTCCACACAGCAGCACCCCAGACCCGTCCTGACGTGGGCGCATGTGACTTAGGAGCGACAGCTGCGCCAGGTCTGCTGCTGAAAGCGGGTGTGGAAATCTGCGCTGGGGAAATCTGTCCTCCCTGGCCCCTCCCCTGGGCGCCATCATGGACGGGCTCGCAGCTTCCCGCCGACGGCCAGCGCCGCCAGGCCAGGCCAGCTGTGGCTCTGAAAGTGGAGCCCGATGGGGGACGGCCTCGCGCTAACTGCAGCCTCCCGGCCCGCGCTCCAGGTCTCCCCAAAGCCACGGCTTCGCCACCACCCACCCCACCACCCACCCCTGTCCCGAATTTCTCCCGCTGCCCCTACGAGTCGTGGAACTGCACGACACGTCGCCGCACAGCTCGCTGCGGAGAGGAACGCAGGCCGCGGTACCAACAGCCCATCGACGCCAGCAGGACGGGCCCGGGGGCGGCCCCAGCACACACGGTCCCGGACACGCGCAGGGACAGGAATAAATGCGTCTCCTAGCTCACACACCCTGGAGAAGGGGGCAGCAGTCAGTCCGCCTTGGGGCCAGAGGAGACCCCAGCGCAGCGGACACTGCACAGCACCTCGGGGAGGCGAGGCTCCCTGGGGAGCGACGCTGGCCAGCACGGCAGGCCCTGCCACGCTGCTTTGGAAACGCCTCCCGTGGCCTGTGAGCGGGAAGCTGTGACCGGGTCAAGGTGCTGCGGTCACACCCTCGGCCTCCCCGACACGGGAGGCCCGGGGACCCCAGCTGGCGCCATGTGCTGCGCCCCGTGCTGCTCGGAGGGTCCCCCCGCAGGGAACTGCACAAAGGCAGGCCAGCAAGACGCGGGTCCCAGCGGGCTTTCCCCGGCCCTGCCCCGGCTTCTGCAGGCCTGAGGAGGGGGGACAGGACGGGGAGGAGACTGGAGCAGGGGGTGCCGCTCAGGGCTAGTTGGGGTGTGGCTCTTGGTCTCGGGAGCAGGGGCCTCTTCTCAAGCTCACGTCATCCAGGCCGATCTCGCCGGGGTGCCCGCGCCTCTTTTCCCCTCGGAAGATGACCTGGGGAGAGAAGGCCACAGGGGTCACGGGGTCAGGTCTCCACCGCCCCCCGCCCACATCTTAGGCAAAGGCAGGCAGGCCGGCCGCTGCGCTCAGGGCTCGGGTGAGCACTGCCCGGGGAAAGGCGGCAGCGAGGGGCCGGGCCAGGCTGCCCTGCGCAGGGAATTCCATGTGCAGAGAGCCGTGGGGCTCAGAGCCCACACCTGCAGGCGCTCGGAATTAGGGGGGCCGGGAGAAGGGGCTGTACACCCCATCCTCGCTAGGCCGCGCCTTCCCTCGAGCATCCTTGCTCCTAAAACGTGGACTTGGCTAGACACTGACTGGACCAGGGCGCGGCTCTTCTCCCGACAGAAACACACGGGGACGCCGCGGGGACCGCTGCCGGGGCAGCGCGGTCCAGGGCGCGGGCGCGTCACCCTCAGGGGCTGCGCGACCTACTGAGCAGCGCTGGGGGCCACGCCCGGGGCCAGAGCCTCACCCCAAGACTTCCCCGGGGTCACGCGGCGGGAGCTCCAGCTCTCCACGCGCGGCCTCTGCGCCCCGGGCCCTCAGCTGCGCTCTGCGCCGCGGCCCCGCCCGCGCCAGTGCCCAGCCCCCGGGCTGCCCCGCTGGGCTCGCGGGCAAAGGCGACAGAGGGCTCTCAAAGCCCTTTTGGAAAGCCAGCGGGGCTGGGGGCCGGGGCCGGCGCCCGGGGACGGAAAGCCCTGGCGGGCGCCTCTCCACGGGGCTGCGAGCGCTTGCGGGTCCTGCGTTTTGCTCGCATTGAGCTCGGGCCGCGGCCCTGGGGGCCCCGGGTACTCACGCTCCGGACGTCCGCCCCGCGCAGGGTCATCCGCGCGCGCCTCCAGCCGCCGCCGCCGCTCCGGCCCCACAGCGCGGCTCCGGGGGCCCCGTGTTTCCGCACGAGCACCTGCAGCGCGCCGGGGGCGCGCCCCGACACCTTGTGCCGGAAGGACAGGCACAGCGCGCCCGCGCGCAGCAGGTGGCCGACGGGCAGCAGCAGGCGGGCGGCCCTGGCCCCCGGGCCCTTGCCGGCCGACACCATCAGGTACTGGCCGCCTGCGGGGAGAGGAGGGGGGGGAGGGCTGGGTGCGGGCCGGGGCGCCCCGACGGCCCCAGCGCGCCCGGCCCGGCCCGTGTTGATGGCTCCAAGGGGGTGAGCGGGGCCTGGCGTGGCCCGGTGAGTGGGCCCGGGGTCCCAGAGGCACCGGGCGCAGAGTCCGGGGTGCGCCCGCCTGCCTCGGAGCGGAGCGCAGCGGCCCTGGCCCAGCCGGCGCCGGCCCTGTCACCCCACGGGCGCCCCAGGCCGAGCCCGCAGGGGCGTGTCGGCCCCGCCAGCCTCCCCGAGGAACGTGGGGTGCAAGTCCTGGACCTGCCTGGGCGGGAGCCCCACTTGGCAATGGAAAGATGAGCCGTCCTTGTGGGCTGCTCGCAGGCAGGGTGCCCGCAGGGACGCCCCGCCGCTCTGCCACCTCCCCAGCACCCCAGGGGAGCCTGGCCCGTTCTGTGCCAGGAACGTGGGAGGCTCCCAGGGAGTGCCCGTCACCAGGCTGCTCGCTGGGGTGGGAGGGGCCCGGCCCGGGCAGGCTGGGCCTAGGTCAGGGCCCCGAGGCCCCAACCCTCTGCACACGCTGCTCCACGTGGCGCTTTTTCCCTCCCGGGACGCTGCGACCCCTGAGGGCTGAGTCACCCTCTCCCCGCACCCCTATTCCATTCTTAGCACCTGCCAGGAAAAGCCCAGAAAACAGCCAAAGCCTGCCGGGAACAGGTCCCGAGGCTGGCGCTGGGCTCACCCTAACCAACCCCCAATCTCTGCCGCTCCAGCCCCCGCCCCGAGAAACTCACCCAAACAATATTTTGGGCAGAATACCGGTGGATTGTACACGGCGCCCCTAAGTCAGCCTTGGCATCACCACGGCTATTTTGGTGAGACCAAGATAGAAGGTTCTGACGGTGAACCCGCCCGTCTGAGGGAAGCGGGGATCATCTCCAACCCCCGTGGAACGCACTCGATCGTCACTCCCCACCCACCCCAGCAACCCCACCTCCCGGCCGCTACCCGCAGGGCCTGCCTGCCCCCTCTGCTCCCCGAGCCCTGCGGTGACTGTGGCGCCGCCTTCAGCCCTGCCCTGGCGTCCTCGTAATGCGCCGCCGTGTCTCGGGGACGTTTGGTTTCCGGGCATATTATTATAATTACTGTGTTTCGGTAGAAAACACTGCGAAGCTTTACAGGAAGTCTGATAGTTTAATTTATGTATTTTAAAATCCGTACTGCTTTGTGCCTTCACAGCTTGTTTACCCAGGGAGCAACATCGCAATCCCCGTCACTGTGGCCAAGGCTATGAAGGGGCTCGGCCTCCTTCAGTCACAGTGTTCAGCCTGGCAGGGCGCTGCCCTGGGCGGGCACACCGCTGTCTCCTGGCATCAAACTCTCAAATGCAAGAGCACTTGGCAGTAGTGCCAGGGCAGGGCCAAGGGGAACAGAAAAGCAGAAGCGAAACTGAAATCCTGCTCCCTCAGCCCGGAGGCGACTCCCAACATGGTGACGTTCCGAACGCCAACGAGCATTTTCCCAGGTGCGACTTCTTGTCACTGAACGCGAGGGCTCGTGTTCGGGGCTGCCAAGCAGACATTTTTCATAGCCGCAAGGCCGGCAGGCAGGAATGCTTGGGGAAAAGGAAGTGTCCTGGTGTTTTCTCGTGAGCTGGGGACTCCCCAGCAATTCTCAAGCTCTGCTGTGCGCCCCAGGCCCGCGCTGCCCACCACTGTCCGAAGTGGACCCCGGTGTCTCCCGGGGCGCCTGGCTTCCAGCGGAGCAGAGGCTGGCAGGGGCAGCGTTGAGCCCCAGGCCGGCCCAGCACAAGGCCCGGCCCCTGGGCGTCCCGGGCGCCTGGTAGCGGGAAGGGCACCCACGTCCGCGTGTAGGTGCCCCTGGGGCGCCGGTGCACACCCTGGGGCCTGGCCCTCACCCAGTGTGGTTTCCCGGGCGGGGGTCATGGCAGGAGGAGGAAAAGGGGGCAAGGACAAGAAGCCGCCCCCCTGGAGTGTCCTAACTCCCCGCACACACGCCGGTGCGGCTCGAGAGCCCGCAGCAGGGAAGCTGAACCTCACGTCAGTCCCCGAGTCTCCAGGGCAGTCGCGGGGTTGGCACAGGATGTGGCCGTGCCCGCCCCCAACCCCAACACTGCCCAGTGCGTCCTCGGCAGGGGGTGCGGTCCTGGGTCTAAGGGGCTGCCCGGAGGGCCCCGTGGCTCCCCCGCCCCTCCTCGGCCCCCCAGGCCCAGGGCCGCGGACAGGGCGGGGCTTTTCTGGCACGGGGACGGGGTGGCAGGGGCTCGGCGCAGGGCCGGGCCTGAGGCGGGCACCGGGGGCACCTCACCTGCGGGGTCCCGCGCCGGCTCCCAGTGCAGGTCGCTGTCCTTCTCGCGGATCCAGCCGCACAGCCCGTGCTCGAAGTCGCAGCCGTGGACCAGGGCGCCTGCCGCACGCGGGGGTGAACAGAGGCCCCCCCACCCCGCCGGCCCCCGCCCCGCCCGCTCCCCAGGCTGCAGGCCGTGCCCGGGAGGCCGGGTACTACCCGGGGGGCCCCGTACTGCCCGCGCCCTGGGCACAGGGGGTGCCCGCGCCCCGCACCCGCCCCGCGGCCTGGCCTCCCGGGAGCCGGCCGGGAAGGGAAAAGCCTCCGTGTCCCCGCGGGCCCGGCCCGCGCCTACCTGGGTCGTCCCCGGCCTCCTCGTCCGCGCTGACCCCTCGCTCGATCTCGAAGCTCTCGAACAGCTCGTTCGACGGCCGGCGCGGGACTGCAGGCCACACGGAGCAGGTGAGACGGGGACGGGCCAGGCGGGGCGGGCAGAGACGCAGGAATACGGCAGGAGGGGGGGGGGGGGGGGGCGGGACAGACACTGAGCGCAGGAGAGGCGGCGGGAGGGAGGGAGGGACCCGAGGCGCGAGAGGAACCCACGAGAGACACGAGACACAGGGGGAGAGGAAGGGGGGCGCGCAGCGGGAGAGAGCAGGACACGGGACAGAGACAGAGGGTCACACAGAGACAGGAGAGACACAGACAGCTGAGACAGAGACATGAAGAAGAGACACAGTGACAGAGGGAGAGAGAGATGAGAGACAGGGAGAGACAGGAGAGAGAGGAGAGAGTGAGAGAAACAGACACAGAGGAGACACAGAGCAGGTGTGAGGGATAGAGCAGAGACACAGGACAGACTAGAGACAGGAGAGACAGAGACCAACAGGAAGAGAAGAGAGCGGGGGAGAGAGAAAGAGAGACAGAGACAGACAGGAGAAACAGGACAGAGACAACGAGGACAGAGAGAGGAGAGAGAGACGGAGAGAAAGAGACGACAGGGAGACACCAGAAGAGGCAGTGAGAGACAGGGGAGACAGGAGAGACACAGGAGAGACAGAGGACAGACAGTCTATCCTCTCTCTCCTCTGTCTCTCCTCAGACTCTCCTGTGTCTCCCCTCTGTCTCCTCTCTCTCCTCTCTCTGCTCTTTCTCTCCTCAGAGTACATACAGAGGAGAGAAAGAGGAGAGAGAGGAGAGAGAGGAGAGACAGAGGGGAGACTGAGGAGAGACAGAGGAGAGAGACAGAGGAGAGAGACAGGAGAGACATGAGAGACAGAGGAGAGAGAGGAGAGACACAGGAGAGACAGAGAAGACTGAGGAGAGACAGGAGAGACAGGAGAGAAAGAGGAGAGACAGAGGAGAGACACAGTAGAGACAGAAGACTGAGTAAGACTGTCTCCTCAGTCTCTCAGAGAAGACTGTCTCTCCTCAGTCTCTCCTATATCTCACCTCTGTCTCTCCTCTCTCTCCTCTGTCTCTCCTCTCTCTGCTCTGTCTCTCCTCTCTCTCCTCAGAGTAGAGACTGAGGAGAGACAGAGAAGACTGAGGAGAGGACAGAGAGGAGAATCAGAGGAGAGAGAGATGAGACTGAGGAGAGACAAAAGAGAGACAGAGGGGAGTGATGGGAGAGACAGAGTGGAGACTGAGTAGAGATGGAGGAGAGACAGAGGAGAGACACAAGGGAGACACAGTGGAGACACAGGAGATAGAGGAGAGACAGAAAAGAGAGAGGAGAGACAGAGGAGACTGTGGAGAGACTTAGGAGAGAGAGGAGAGGAAGAGGAGAGACAGAGGAGAGAGAGAGGAGACTGAGGAGAGACAAAAGAGAGACAGAGGAGAGCAGAGGAAACTGAGGAGAGACAGAGCAGAGACAGAGGAGACGAGGAGAGACAGAAGAGTGAGAGGAAGGACACAGGAGACTGAGGAGAGACAAAGAGACACAGAGAAGAGACACAGGAGAGACTGAGGAGAGACAGAGGAGACAGACGACAGAGTGGAGAGACAGGAGGGACAAAGGAGAGACAGGAGACTGAGTAGAAACAGAGCAGAGACAGAAGAGACAAAGAGGAGAAGAGGAGAGACAGAGGAGACAGACAGGAGAGACAGAGGAGAGAGAGAGGAGAGAGGAGACTGAGTAGACAGAGGAGAGACAGAGGTGAGACACAGGAGACACAGAGATGAGACTGAGGTGAGACTGAGGAGAGACAGAGGCGAGACTGAGTGAGAACATGAGAAAGAAGAAAGAGGAGAGACACAGGAGAGACAGAGGCGATTGAGGAGCGACTGAGGAGAGACAGGAGAGAGATAGGAGAGACAGAGGAGAGAGAGAAGAGACAGAGGAGAGACAGAGGAGACAGAGGACAGAGGAGAGAGGCAGGAGAGACACTGGACAGACAGAGGGGAGAGAGGAGAGACACAAGAGAGACAGAGGAGAGAGAGGAGAGACAGAGGAGTGACACATGAGAGACACAGGAGAGACAGAGGAGACAGCGGAGAGGCTGAGCAGAGACAGGGGAGAGACAGGAGAGATAGGATAGACGAGAGAGAGGTGAGACAGAGGAGACAGGAGAGACATTCCTCTCCCTCCTCTGTCTCTCCCCTCTGTGCCTCCTCTGTCCCTCTTGTCTCTCTCCTCTGTCTCTCCTCTCTCTCCTCTGTCTTTCCTCACTCTCCTGTGTCTCTCTTCTGTCTCTCCTGTCTCTTTCCTGTGTCTCTCCTCTCTCTCCTCCGAGGAGACTGAGCAGAGACACAGGAGAGAGACAGGAGTGACAGAGGAGAGACACAGGAGAGACCTAGGAGAGAGAGGAGAGACACAGGAGAGACAGAGGTGAGACACAGGAGAGACAGAGGAGAGACAGAGGAGAGAGAGAAGAGACAGAGGTGACTGAGGGGAGAGAGAGGAGAGACAGTGGAGAGACTGAAGAGACAGAGTAGGGACATAGGAGAGACACAAGAGAGAATTACGAGAGACTGTCTCTCTTTTGTCTCTCGTCAGTGTTTCCTGTGTCTCTCCTCTGTTCTCTCTCTCCTCCAAGGAGACTGAGGAGAGACACAGGAGAAACAGAGGAGAGAGAGGGAGAGAGGAGAGAGAAGAGAGAGAGAGGAGAGACAAAGGAGAATGAGGAGACTGAGGAGAGACACAGGAGAGACAGAGGAGACTGAGGAGGGACACAGGAGAGACACAGGAGAGATTGACGAGATGTCTCTCCTCTCTCTCCTCCGCCTCCTGTCAGTCTGTCCAGTGTCTCCTCTCTCTCTTCTCTGTCTCTCCTAATCTCTCCTCCGAGGAGACTGAGGAGAGACACAGGACAGAGGAGACGAGGAGAGACAGAGGAGAGACATAGGAGAGAAAGAGGAGAGACAGAGGAGAGAATGAGGACAGAGGAGGGACAGAGAGACTGAGGAGAGATAGTTTCACCACTGTCCTCTGTCTCTACTCTGAGGAAAGAGGAGAGAGAGGAGAGACACAGGAGAGACCGTCTCTCCAATCTCTCTCTTGTCTCTCCTCCGTCTCTCTTCTGTCTCTCCTGTGTCTCTCCTCTCTCTCCTCCGAGGAGACTGAGGAGAGACACAGGAGACAGAGGAGAGGACCGAGCAGAGACAGAGGAGAGAGACAGGAGAGACCGAGGACAGACAGGAGAGAGAGGAGAGAAAGGAGACAGAGGAGCGACAGAAGAGAGACAGAGGGGAGAAAGAGGAGAGACAGAGGGGACAGAGGAGAGACTAAGGAGAGACGCAGGAGAGACACAGGAGAGAGACAGGAGAGACAGAGGAGACTGAGGAGAGACTGAGGAGAGACTGAGGAGAGACACAGGTGAGACAGAGGCGAGACAGAGGAGAGAGAGTGAGAGAAACAGACACAGAGACAGGCATGTGAGGAATAGTGCAGAGACACAGGACAGACTAGAGACAGGGGAGAGACAGAGACCGACAAGAGAAGACAGAGCGGGGGAGAGAGAAAGAGACAGACAGAGACAGACAGGAGAAACAGGACAGAGACAACGAGGACAGAGAGAGGAGAGAGAGACGGAGAGAGAGGACAGGGAGACACCAGAAGAGGCACTGCTAAATGTTGCTAAATGCACACAGCTAAATGTTGCGCTGCTGGTCACAGCAGGGACACGATGCAGGGAACGCCTTTGTCAAAGACTCACCTGGCCTGCGGCACGTGCCCGGCCCTCTGTAGTCTCCCAGAACTCCAGAGGCCTGGTCTCGGGCACGAGCGGGCATGTCCCGGGCCAGGGCCCAGCAGGGACAGTGGAAGCCTCGCTTGCATGTCTGCAGCAGCCCTGCTTCCGGTTGACACCACCGCGCCCCTCAGGCCGGGCCCACAGGCCACATGCAGACATCTGGCCAAGGGGGGCCTGCCGTGCAGCAGCAGCAGCAGCAAGCAGTGCAGGGTAGAGGCGCCTCTAACTGGCCCTTTTTGGCTGCTGCTGAGAGGCTGGTCAGCGTGGCCAGTCCATCTGCGGCCATTCCTGGCTCTCCAGCCTGGGCTACCCGGAAGACCCCGCTTTTAAAAATGGACCATTTAAATCACCGTGGGCCTCCCTGGTGGCACAAGTGGTGAAGTCTCAGGACTGTGAAGCTGTCCTCAGCCTCTGAAGCACAAGTTCGATCCCCAGCCAGGGAGCTAGCCACAAGGCGCAGCAGACCTCTTCTGGCTCGCCTGCTGCCCCCCTCAGCAGTGTTTCACTCCGCCTGTTCTGTTCCCCACTGTCTCTGGTGGGTCCTCTCATTCCCTGCACCTCTGCCCAGCACCCCAGTTCTTATATGCATAAATTCATAAATCCTTTAAAAGAAAGAAAGCAGCATGGATTGGCTGGAAGGCCTGGGAGATGGAGCAGCCAGGATCTGCCTCAGGCGCTGGCCTCCTGCGGCTCCTTATCACGGGGAATGGCCATTCAGCGCTGGACGCTGGACTCGATAGGGGCTGGGGAGGAAACGCCAGCAGACGTCACGGCGGTGGGGCTCGGTGGGAATGTGGGTGGTGCGGGAACTCTTGGCCACAGACCAGGGATACGCCCCTTCCTGCTGGGCCGCACGCAGGACCCCTGGTCTGCCAGGGTGGGGGCCGCCGGGGGCTACCCGCTCCCCGCTCCCCGGTCACTCTCACACGTCAGGTTATCTAGCAAGGACCCGCTGAGCCGCAGGGAACACTGAGACCCTGGAAGAAACCTGAACACAAAGCATGACAGTGACCAACACGGGGCCCTGTGTTTTGTCATAACGCAAAGGGGGCAGGCGCCAGACAGCCTAGAAGACCCCACACAGGTCACTGCCCAGAGAGGACGTTTCCTGGACCCGTCAGCGCAGGCCCCAACTAAAACAGGAATCAAAATGGTGGCAACTTTCATATTGCAAACCAGCAGATCCCGACCTGCACGTGAGAGGCCGCCCCTTCTTGCCAGGCACCCCCTTGGGGTGTCGCTGTTTGCT